CCACTGAAAGTATTGTTACAGACAAAAAAAAAATTTACTCAAAGCAGTAATATTTCAGAATTTTTTAAAGCAAATTGGTGATAGCTTTCGCTAAAAATATCTCCGCGTTTCTCCGGCTTTAAAATGTCAAGCAAATACATTGCTTTACTCTCTGCGAATGTCTCGTGAATAGTTATAAATAAGCAGTGTTATAGTAAAATAATCCAATTACCAATGGGAATGCCGCCTAACAGTGGCTACGCTTCACAAAGTGCACTGACAGTTTTTAAAAGAATGAATGTAAGTAGGGAAACTTCTGAGAATCGTATTGAAGGACCACGTTATCAATTTTTATTTTCCCCTCAATTTTCTTTCTCGCTAATTTCCATTCATGAGTTTACCACATGAATAAGCAATCCTTTGAAACGTTCGATCTATGCTTTTTGAAAAAACTAGCTTACTTCTGGAACTCAACACGCCATAAAGGTATCAGAAAGCTTTTTCAGTCGACAAAACTGAATTACATAATGCCTTCTTGTCACTAACCATTTTTCATTTGTGCTTCGACACTTATTTTATAAGCCACAAATCAATGACAGTTCTAGCTGATGAAAAATTTTGCGAAACCACAGAATAAAGCTGAACAGCGTCTGCATTGCAGATGACGAATATGACAGAAAAGTTGCGAGCGCTTAGTCCTTTCAAAATTCAAGGGCTATCCTTCGACCCTCAAAGGTAACAAAATACTTATTAAGGCACAAGTAATTTGCTTTTTTTTTAAATAAAAGATAAAAAGTTGCAGTACTACAGCCTCAGGAAATATCTGTAAATGGTATGAACTGTAAACCGCTTTCATCAAATGCTTCTTTTTCTAAACAGCTAAATCATTAAAATTAAACAGAATTCAAAAACTTTCAGATTGTTAATCGGAGACGAGACCACTACAGATTCATCCGCATTCAATAGTGAACAAAATCCACCACAGCAAGTGATAACACCTTCAGACAGTGTACTTCTACCGCAAGCGAATACTACAGCCGATGAAGTGCAGTTGAGTGAGCAACCGAGTGATACCACAGCTGCTCTTCAAGCGGTGCAGTCGGCAAACAGACCGCAAGAGTCTACTAGTGAAAAGCCCAAGACAGAAACGAGTTCAATGAGCCATATAAGTCAACAGCTTTATGTTTTTCGTCGAATTATGTTTTTCGTCTTCCTCCTGTTTTACATCATTGCACTTCCGGTCTGTCTTCTCTAAAAAAAAATTTATTCCTTTTTCTGAATTTTTTATATCAGCATCAATTTAACTGATTAGTTATAAAACTCATACTTCGCTGTTACTTATTTTGTGATCTAATTGAACTAAAAACCGACAGTCAATATCCACTTCACCAGGTCAGCAAAATCAAAAAATTTTTTTGCAATTGAACAAACTCCCTTATAAAAGTTACCTACATTGTCACACTTATATAGAAATGCACGCAGGGATTTAACAGTTAGAAAAAATTATACTGCACCATTACTGGTACTTAAAACTACTTACTTCCCGAGTACTAACTGCAGGAAGTATTAAAATTCGTACAACTAAAACCACGCCTTCTTTCAACACAGCACCGTCTCTATAAAGAACGAAAGCATACAGAGAGCATCCAGACCTAATCAGTTTTATAACTAATCAGCTCAGAGAAGCCGAAGGCTGATATTAACTGTAGTAATTTTACATGACCAAAAAAATAATTTTATCTTTAAAAAAAATTCATTTTGCATACTCAGCACTGCATAAACACCCCCAATCTTACGCACCCAACTTACGAAACATTCAAATCCAAATGCCAGTGAAAAGTTGCGCATATAAGCGTGTTTGGTATATTACAAAGTGGCCGACTAAAAATTCCGCGAATTCAGCAGATTTAGGTGAAAGAAACATGTATCAATTACTAATTGCCTCAAAAACTACAGTCTGTAAATTCCAGGTCAGAGGACTCACAGCACTGACAGCGCTGAATCCTCAGTGAAGAGCTTTCGTATTTGAGCCTTTAAATGAGAGCATGCTTCAGAGTGCACATCAAGCTTTCAGATACTCTCTTATACAAAACTTGCAGACACTGCACCAATAGAAGTACCACCGTGAAAGAGAACTGAATTCTCTTGAAGAACTTCTCAGAAAAGTTTCGCCAGAAAACTTGATTTAATTAAACACAAACTCAAATCAAAAAGATTAAAGAAAACAATTGCATTACATCCCTTGAATCCCTAACAAAAAATGCATACGCCTAATGCTGCCTCACACAGTTGGCATTCACCATGAAGAAGCAGCTCTGCAAAAAGGCTCAACAGTTCTAACAAAAATTTACGAAAAAAAAACAAAAATGCTGCTTTTTTCTTATTAATTCCAAAGAAACTTAAAATTGGTTGAACAAAAGTTCTTATTTAGCAAAAGAAAAGCTGACGATGAGGACAAAAATAGATCACTGACATACCAAAAAAATTTAGAGCCAACTCAGCAATTTCAAAAGCAAACAGTAAAGTTGCCACTTTTCTTCTTCTTCCCATCACAAAAGTTAAAGACGACAGTCAAAGAAAAAGTAACGACGGTGACAGAAGTGCTGTTGAAAGTAGAAGACAATCGAAATTCTCGCAAATTTTAGTAAATATAATGAAACTCCACTAAAAAATCAGTGGTTCCTTTGTAAAACTTTCAAAAGTACAACTTTTTTCCTCTCGATCTTAAAATTAGCGCCTTTTCCCTACCTTCCTTACTGCACCTTTTTTCAGCATAAGTAACCATTGAATAAATGAACGACAAAGAGGCTAAAAAATGATCTCTAACAAATTAAAAAAATTTCCTTGTCCTTTTTTGCGACAAAACTGTTAAAAACTAAAAAAATACTTCTGGCGTCTCTTTGGTGTTTATACAAAAATCTTTGAATGTTCGAAAAAGTGTTGACCTACCATTTTGGTCAACAACAGAAGATAGTGCCTTTGTTTTTTGCCTCCCCCTCGTCTCCAAATAACTAAATCTTTCCGAACTAAAAGCCAGAAAGAAAAGAATTTTTGTCTACTTCTTTCTTTGAATATAAAGTACCAGAAGAAGGGACTTGGAGGAAATTAGGGATACGCACTTACCCAAACCTCCAAAAAAACAGTTAGATAAGATAAACCATCTAAAATTACCATGGCAACTCAAATGGAAATCTCTGAACTCTACTTCATAAATGTAGTAAATTAGAAATGTAAATGACTTCTCAGATTCGCTTTGCAAAAAAAGAAATTACAATATATTTGCTCTGAACAGCCAAAATAGTATGAAGATTCATGTTTATTAGCACATCCAAAGAAGGAAATAATCAAATACTAGATGCACCTGCATCAGCACTATTTCAAGCCTGGTGACGAAGAAGACAGGATCAGATCGCTAACAAGCGAAAAAATATCTGTAAAAAAAAAAAAAGATAAGTATCAATTAACAAATCTATAAGCAAAAACGCACCAAAAAGCTAAAAAAAACTTGCTGACTCTCCACCATCAATACGACGATCTACTATACACAAAAATGAAAATACCACGATTTATAAATGCAAAGGCCCAGAAGAGTCTTTATTTCTTAAAAACCCCTCAGCCTTTCGCAGCAGCCTTTCCATATCCGGGAAGCTTGCCAGAACAACAGCATCTTCTAATGAAACCCATCTCATCGCTTGGTGTTCTGCCGATAATCTTACATTTCCCGACTTTTTCAGCCTTGCCAACCAATACTTTACTTGTTTCTAAAAATTTTTTCTCATGACCTGTAGTAAAATGCCGGTTTTTAAACATTTATTATCATGATCTGCAGTAAGATGCCAAAATATACTAACAATAATTTTATTTGGCTGTGCTGCTAAATCACTAATTCCGTGAGTCAATTCTAGCGGACTTGAAACAAGGAATCGCAGAACTGAAATACGAACTTGTCCTACCAAAAACAGAATAGTCCGTATAAGATCATCAAAAAGTAATACAGAGTTTTTTTATATAACGCCATTTACCCTTATTCACAGACCTTTCTGGTCATCTCGCCTTCATATCTGCTTTGCTTGACATCATAAAATAAATCTTCCTCAAAATCCTTGTGAATTTCAAGTTCCTCTTCTGCCAAACCAGCTTCTTCTTTAGTCTCTCGTAGTGCAGCAGTCATAAAGTCTTCCGAATCATCAAGATGTCCTTAAATCCTCGAATTGATGCTATAATCACTAAAGCAAGTAGAACTAATTTTAAAAACTCGTCATTTCATAGCAACCCAATTAAAAGCACTCAAAGTTTATATCATGAAATTAAGGGTTGTTGAGGGATTCAGGACCAGTAATCTATTCAAATACATCTCTTAAAAAATTTTTTTTCAAATATAAAACATTATCAATTTCTAAAATGTTAAACAGTCACTAATTACTAGCTCGAATGCTTGACTTTTCAGTAGCTTTCGTCGGCAAATAACTTTTCATTACAAATCAACCGTGTTAAAAAAGTTTACAATTGCTACACTGCTCCATGTACTACAAGCATGCCTGCTGCGTTTCCTCCGCAAACTTGAAATCAAAGACTCAATAATAAAAATTTTATTAGAACTGCTAAGTTCCACTCACAACCTCATTCCAGTCACTTTCTAACATGAATTTTTTTGGTTCTGACAAAACAATAATCTAGAAAGTAAAAAACCGTTAACCAAGTAACCGGGTGTCATACCTTTGTGAAATGAATTAAAACGAAAATCGTAGTAACAACTAAAAAAGCAAAGTTAAAGTTAAGCTACTAAAGCCTATCAAGAACTACTAAGACAAAAAAATAAATACAGAAAATTTCTCATGCTTTGATGTATTTTGAAGCGTGAAATTAACTCGTCCTCTATCACCCCTCTGTCTACAGCGCTGTAGAGGAAATGTCTCGAGCAGTTGAAAATCTCAAAACACACAACATTTGTAGAGTTTTGTAACCTGGCTTTAACCCCCATCTTGTAACTTCCACCCCTTTAAAAAGCCAACATGAAACTTTGGTACTTTACATAGCGTATAGAGTTTCAAAAAACTTTTACTTCGGAAAGCTTTAAACAGTGGCATTCCCAAAAAAAATTTGAAGTCTTCTTTCTAATATAAGCAATCATCTAATTCGTTAATGTAAACATATCAGCATTTCGAATCTGCAGAAGAAATTTTATCAAAAGAATAAAATTCATGAAGATTTACGGTGAATGAACTAAATAGCAATCCCTTAAATATATTCAAATTCAGTGAAAACTCCACTTCTCTTCTGAAATTTAGAGTTAATCTTCCTTAGTGCTTAAACTGAGCAGAAGGCCAGAAAAAACTGAAAAAAATTCGAAATGTTTACTGATAAAAAACCGTAACTTGGAACATGAGGACCCAAATACAGTGTCTTCCGCTACTGGCGTCAACTGTCTCTTCTTAATCCTGGGTCAACTAAAGTATGACATTAAAACAAGCTTTATGGAAAAACTAGTCGCCGCAAATACAAAGCTGTGTACACCACAGAAGCGTCATTCAACGTCCTATAATGTTAATTCCTCGGCAGAGTACAAAAAAGCTAGCAAAGCAGATTGTATTTCCAAGAAGTAGTATTACTAAAAAAGTTTTGGTTTCTATGTATTCCAAACACAAATCCGAGACCTTTAAAACAAAGAAGAGAAATAGAGAAGCTTAGGGCAAAGACGCTTTTTCAGAAGATCGCTGAAAATGTGACCAAAATCCGTCTTTCTTGACAAAACAAGTCATTACATCACGAAAATACGGAAGAAATAAAAGATGGGATTTACAATAAGGTCAAGATGCTGCAATCCAAGAACTCTTTGCGGCCCGTCAACAGAATCCGCACTTCGCGATGGCTTGGACAAGTCACTAACCAAGAATTTGCCGGAATTTCCATATGAAATGTAACTCTTTGAGATACATCATAATAAGTTGAAGCACAGTAGCTTTCGGTAAAACCTTTCTATTAAGCAGCTAGGAAGGGTTTTTGCAAGAATGTCAACTGTAATCGATTACCGTATCGGCAGTGGATCATAATCGAGTTCACTCTAGCTCAGAGTCCGTCACGAATCTAGCAGAGTATCGCTAAATTGTGACATTTTATAGTTCAAAAAATCCTCTTAAAAAATTTTTCAAAATATAATATGGCAAAATTTATTAGTTTTTGAAAACCTGCTTCTGTTCCATCTACTTGAATCCAGTTACCTATACAATCTGATTAGATGTTGTTAAAAACTTTTATAAGTAGAAGCAATAAAAAATCTGAAAAAAATCAAAAATCACTAAATCTCGCTAAAGTCGGACTAAACCACAACCTGTGAAAATAGGGAAAAAATGGCGAAAAAGTAACGACTTCTGCAGCTCCAAAAGGGCGTAATTCGAAACAGAATTATTTTTTCCAGACTCTCTCTTCAATCTCTTACATTCAAACAAAACGTTACTAAACAGCAAAAAACATAAAAATTTTTAGGCATTAAGCGAAGTTTCAAAACCGACATGAGACGGTTCAAATACATACACAAATTCCATTCATACGTTAGTAAGGTTGTCATCCTCACAATCATTTTTCATTCAGGGCGTCCTAATCGAAAGAGAGTAGGATCTGGAGTCAAGAGAGATTGCCCATAAAGAACAGCTAAAAGTAATGGGTAGGCCAGAGAAGAAAGAGGCAGCGAGAGGATAAAGGAAAACAAATAACATTTTGCACGGGAATGAGAAATTTCTTGCCATCCATTCTATTCTATAATTCTTTAGTAATTTTATTGAAAAGTTAGAAAATCCTATAAATTTTTGAAAGTAAAAACTGTAAAATCACTTTTTTTTTTGTCTCAAACTGTTTTCGCCGTTCAAATAATCTAAAATTCCTACTTCCATTAAAACGCAAAGTTTATCCGCAGTTACGCTGTTGAAGCAATCAGCTGTCGTAAAAACTGACCTTCGGATGCGCAATATTTTTGGTAGTGATAGCAGGACAACTGACGCTATACGAACAACCTAGCTAAAAAATCCAGAACAGTATGAGTTTAAGTCCCAAACACCACTGGAGTTTATGGTCCTCACTTTGAATCACTCCTTTATTTCCCAAACTTTAAGATAATTTTCGTACTTAAAATTTTTCTTCCATTTTATGCATCTGTCGAGAATGTGGAAACATCTACTCAGTTTCTACTTGCATTCGGAAAATTCAAGATTATCCAAATAAAGATCTCTACTGCACCACAGCAAAACCAGAAATAATCCTCTGCAAAACTGGACAATTCGCGATACTAAACACCTAAACCAAAACATTAAAAAATAGTAGTAAAAAGAATAACTTGAAAGTAATGAGAAATGTATTGAAGTTTTCATGTAACCTAGAACCTAGAACTCTAAATTGAGAAAAACTCCACAACTTTTAGATGGGAAATCCACAAAGGTGAGGTGGAAGACCGAGTCATTAAAATGAGAAGATACTCGCCATGCTGGCTCACTTACATGAGAAATGAGGCCTTCCCCTTATCCTTCTGTTGAGAAAGCTTACCTCTTCACACCCACCCCCCCTTCTTCCCTCCTATAGGAGGTGCACGGGAAAGACACTAAGTAATAAAGCTGCTGCTACAGGAGAAAAGTGCCACAAAAAAGTCATGTAGGAGTAGTTCATATACAAAACTGTTCGGGAATAAAGAGACGATGCAACTAAATCAATTGTCTTCGTTTAAAACCTTTTACCTGCACATTTGCTCTCATCGCCTGTCGCCCGCTTCTGATTTTCCTTATTTTGTTAAAAGGTTCTCCGTTATGTGGTAATTCCATTCTTCCCTCTGCTATGGGAAGAACCTCCAAATTCAAAAAACTGGCGAGAATGCTACCCCTATCAAATAATCTTGGAAGAAAGATGGTTATTCTTGTGCCACCTACCAAAGAGCAATAATTGGCTTAGAAGCACTTCACCCTCTAATTTCTTCATCTCCTTAATTAGTCCCTTCAAATGCTCATCGAAAAATTACTCATCCAATTAAAAAAGATAAAAAGAACAAACAACCTATTTCAAACGAGCAAAAAATGAATAAAAAGATCTTTCCGATTACAAAGTGGAACGTTATAAAAAAAATTTTCCCTTTTAACAAAACTTACAATTAAATCTAAAATTAATACATTTCTTTTTTTCAACAATAGCTGGAAATTTCAAGAGCCGCTGCTACAGGAAAAGAAACATAACAGGACCATTAATATACTCAGTTAATCGCTAGAATGATAAACAAATGTTTAACCGACCAGAAACATTTCTAAAAAAAAAAAATAAATTTCCACTCCTCCTGTGTATAATATTACAAGATTCAATAAACCTTTTAGTATAATAGCCTTCAGCCTATTCCTTTCATCATTTTTACGAAACATAAGCAGTGTAGCTTGTAGTGTACTGAAGAAGCTTCAAAGAAAAGTAAAAAAAGCCATAGAATTACCTTTAGGTGGAGTCCAGTGGAAAGGAGGATACGAAGCTTGCAACAACAAATACTCAAAAGCATTTCCGTTCACCCTGTAGATGACCATCCCAGCAGCACGAACCATTTCCATTTTAGATCTGCAGTTTGCTAGGTGTAGATGAGCGCCGACCAGCCAGTTAGCGGAAACGGGGAAAATTTTCCATAAATTCAACAAGGATAGCATAGAAGACTTCCTATCAAGAACTTAAAATGCATCTTGCCATCTTATTAAAACAATTAAAGTCATTTTCATCTCTAAAAAAGGTGAATTCCATCACTAGGCAACCTGCGGTCACAATAATTTATTAACCTCTTAATCGAAAGGTGACCACTGCACTTACGATAAGAACAAGAATCATTGCAAAAACAAAAAGAAAAAAAAAAAAA